GAGGGAGGAGAGTGCAGGGAGACACACAGCAAGGGAAAAGATGAAATCCGTTGGAAGTTCTGCCTCTGCATAAGGAAAGAGAATCTTTGATACTGCATAGAGATGGGCTGTTGTTCCGTGGGAGCATTTGAGTCACCTTGTGTGCTTGGATGATCCTGAGGGTTTCAGGTCCCTTGCCTTCACTTAAATCTTACATAAGGGAGAAATTACATACATGGATCCAAAGCTTTCCTAAGCAGAACATGTACTGTTCTTAACAGAAAGAGTAAAGCCTAAGACAAATATTCCTAAATTGTAATAGCCAGAGTGTCCAGATTTTTACAAATTATTGGTAACAATTCTATCCTAGTACAAATAATTACTATTATTGTGCATTTACTGTATATGTACCAGGCACTATTCTATAACATGTCACATGCTGTTTCCTGTCTCAGCCTTACTGATAGGTAGGGATTGTCCTTGATCTCTCTTTTCTCAGAGGGAAAGCTGAAGCTTAGGGAAGTCATTTATCAAGACAGCACAGCCTGCAAGAGATAAGGCAAGAGTCAAGCCCAGCTCAGGCCTTTATGTACATGTCAATATCATATTGCCTTTGTTTTTTCCTTAGAATTGCATGCAGACAAGGCCAAGCCTTTTTAATCATTTATGAGTTCCAGATTTTGTGTTGGAGGGTTGAGCATGGATTGAGGAGGGTGATTGGGGCTCATTTGAAATGTGCCATCTTTTTTTTTTTAGCAGATCTGACACAAACTGGAAGCAAGTTCAGCAAGAGTACTGGGAAGATTTAGAGTATGCTATGACCTTTAGAACACTTCGCGTTTGGTTTGAAGTCAACAAGCTCATGTCCTTTAAAGAGCAAGGAGATATTTCATTTTGTCTCTGAGAATGAAATGCCTTGCGTGCAGCATAGCACGTCCCCCAGTATAAATGCTGTGCAAGCCATAAACTAATAGGTGTATCTCTCTAGCAGCGAATTCCCAGTTCTGTTTTTTTCTACCGTTGCCATTCTGTATTATCTCATTCCCTTCCGTCGGCCTCATTTGTCTTCAGTAAATTGCTGTCACTCCTGTCAGCATGCCAATGCTTGTCATAGTGAAGATGACCTTTTCAAAAAGGTCATTGAAATGAAGAGCTGCTCAAGGGATGCCAGGTCTGGAGGAGAGAGCTGGGAAAAGCAGGAGGAAATGAGCATCTGAAATATTTCTACAGAACATGATGCTGTGGAGAATCTATGGAGTATTAGCTCTCTAGTTCTGTAGATAAGTCTCTGTCACTTATTTTTTTTTATAACATCTACCTTCCCACCCTCAACTTCTGATTTTGTTGACCCTTAAGAATTTACCGAGGATTGCAAATCATCTCAATTCCATGTTATCGTTTGCTTTCTCAGGAAAGGGAAGTGGAGGCTTAAACCTTGAAATTTCTTGGATCTATGTATTTATTTACTCATTCTTTGAACAACTACTTATTTATTGAACCCCTAGTGTTGGGAACTGTTATTGGTGCAGGGGACACATGAATGCATCAGTAAACAAGACACACAAGATTCTTGCTCTTCTGAAGCTTCTCTCTAACTCCATGAAGACAACTATGCTTATTTCTCTTTGTCTCTGCTTATGACAATTTCAGATCCTAACGGGGACTCAGTAGGAGTCCTTTTTGAGAAGAGTTAACCGTATTTTTGCAGAGGTTTATTGATTGCAGATGAAAAGCAAAAGAAAGTCCAGGAAAAACTTATTAAGCTGAATTCTCTGTTTTCTGTTTCTACGCCTTTTTCTGTGTCAGGGCTTTGCCACGGGCACTGAATCCCTGCCATGGCCGCCTTGATCTGAAATAGGATCAGATGCTGTTTCTTGATCAAATGCTGCCCCCCTCCCTGATCCATGGATTTCTTCCCAGACACAGCTGTAGATTCTTGCCTTAGGACCTGGGGACCCAGCCAAAGGACTGGTACTGAGAGGTGGGAATAATGGGTTGGGTTATTTTTTTATTTGGATGGCCTGAAAGGAACTCAGCTCTTGGATCCTATACTGTGATAATGGTTTTATAAAATACTGACTCCAGTACTGGACACTGTCTTGTTCAGTTATGGAAGGCTGATGGCCTAAATTATGTCTACTCAGAAACTACCAAATGGTTTGCTATGGAAATAGTTGGTTTCCTGAGAAAGCTGAGGTTTAAGACAAGTATCTTTTATGACTTCTTATGCCTTTTATTACTTTGTTACCAGTGAGTATTCATTAGAATCATTGGTGGTCTTAATTGAGTGCTTATTAGGTGCCAGGTACTGTGATAAATGCTTTATGTGCATTATTTTGTTTAATCTTGGTACAACCTTGCACGGTACATATTTGCCCCACTTTGTTGATGAGGAAACTGTGGTTTACAGAGATTAAGTAACTTGCCCATGGTCATGTAGCTAGGAGCTAGAGCCAGTCTGATGGGGAGAAAAATACAACCCTAAATAACTGACCTAGGTACTTTGAGGAGTAGGCCTATTGCTAACAGCAGAAATGTCTTTCTCCTTGACTCTTTAGCTAATTTACACTGACTCTGTTATCTACATAGTTTCATATGAAGACATTAATTACACTTACAGTAATTCCTAAAAGGCAATATTAAAGGTCATATTTTAATCTAACTATTCAAATTTTAGAGACTCCAGATATATTTTCTACTGTGATACTATAAGACAATATTTGGAACATAGACAATAACGTCAAAAAAGGTAGACAGCATTTAAAAAATAAAAACAAAAAAACAAAGACAGTGAAAAAAATCACAACCAAACTCCTGAGGATAATAAGGCCAAACACTCTTTCAAAGGCAGGTTCCAAGTTCAAGGGGCTCATTTTACTTGCCTCCAAAGGCCCTTGATTTTTTCCACCGAATAAATATGACAATGGCCAGCAGGACAACCACCGGAATAACCAGAAGGGTTGTAAGGAGAACAATGGGCACTCCCATGCCCGGCTCTTTGATCAGTTTCTGTTTCTCTTGCATCTTCTGCAATTCTGAGGAGGTGGGTTTGTTCTCCATTTTGGTTTCAACAACTGCCTCGGCTTCTTCAGGGAAAGAAGAATTCACAATATTCAACTGACTCAAAAATCGCAAAACCCTCTCACCCACCCCTACCCAGTCAAATCAACACTGTTCACAAAGAACTTCTTAAGTCCAATGCACCTGGATTTCATGATTCAATATCTGAATCTACTGAACTGGCAGCGGGTGTTGTGATTAGTTGTTTCCACTGAATGATTTTTCACCTTCAAATTGGTTTTCCTTGGTTTTACCTTTAATCCCCTCTTTAGCTATAATTCCACAAAATATATATCTTTCTTTTGTGTTTTTCTGAAGTTACCATGAACAGGCAGTGTTGTGTAGGGGAAAGAATTGGTGTGTATACAATTCTTCTATATACAAGCTATATAACTTTGGGCAAGTTACTTAAGGTGTCTGGGCCTTTGTAACCTCATCTGTAAAACTGTGATAATAATACTCCCTTCATAAAACTGTTGGATATAAATGTAGGTCATAAAGAAGATGCTTAGTAAGTATTCATTTCCTTATATCTTTGGTTTATAAATCTTTTTCATGTTCAATGAATTTTTCGTACTTCACATGCATAGCTGCACAGGTTAATTCTAGAATTACAAAAGAATAAAATGAACTGTGTCCTTTTCAGGTTGTTTTATATGGTTCTCAATAAAATGTAAGTGCTCACAGATGCACTGAATAATCTTCCATTAGTGATGAAAATAACTTCTGCAACTATTCTGTGGCATTGGCAGGTACTGGGTAGGTAGCAGGCCTAAAGTATTGTTTGAGAAATTGAAGCAATAAAGCTATATAAGCTGCTGCAGGGATCTAATAACTAATAACTTGAAAATTAGGTTGAGTCTTGAGACATTCTCATCCCCAAGAAGCACATATGTGTGTTTGTATAGAAACCCAAGTGTGCAAAGGCTGGTAAGAATTTGCCCAGGCTAAAAGCTACAACCACATTTGCCAAAAGACTCACAAGGTTTTTGGAATTTTAATTTCTTGGTGTGCTCTTCTGCCCTACAATACAAAGTACATCATGAGGCCTGAAGGAGATTTTGACAAAATGGTAGGGGTAGGCAGCTTAACACAATCAGGAAAATCTTTGGTTAATGTTGAACATGTGTAGAAACAGTTTAGTAGCTTGCAGGACACTTCGCCAAGGAAGTGTTTCCCAAATTACTTAAGACACTGTAAACATTAATTTATAACACAAACAATTGGCAGGTTCCAGCTTTTTGCTTCAATGTTCTGAGCCAATCTCCTTCACAGACTCAATTATATCTATTAGGGACTTACACTATGTCAGGCATTGTTCTCCTTTAATCATCACACCAAACCTATGAGTAGGCTATTATTATTACCATTTTGCAGATGGCCTCACAGTCCTTGTTTCCTTCCCTGTACTATGCTTAAAGAGAGGCCATCCTTTTCCTTCTTTTGCCCACTCAAGTGGCTCTTGAAACTTGAAAAGAAGGGAAGGAAAGGGATTGGTTCACAGATTTAGATGGTTCAAACTTAACCTAAGTCCCAGTTTCAAGAGGAATGTAAGTGTGATTCTTTTCTTACTGCAGAACAGATATACAAAATTGCTCCATATTTAAGCTCATTCTATTTTTAAACAGGAAAATGACAATGAATAGATTATGGGATTAAAAAACAGAGACCAAAGATGTAACTTGGTATTCAAGAACGTGTTGCCTTTGGAAGAAGGGGATATTCCCATTTGAAGGCAGGCATTACCAGAGTAATTACCTAGCATTTAGTGAGTGCATTCTACCTGTCATTTAGTGAATTCATTTGCACCTATTACAATGGCTGTACTAGCTGGTATCTAGTTTCTTTGATAAGACAGAGCAAGGATTGAGCTCCATTAAATGGAAAAAAGAACTGTGGATGAGGTAGGTGACAGACTACATCAGTTTAGCATTCAAAGAAAGTGTGATGAAAATGAGGCAATGAACTTACTAAGATATACACACAGCACTTTAGAAATTCTTGATTTCCATACCACTTCTTGTATTTTGAGTGTCATCTACTAAAAATACTTGAACATCCTAATTTTTGGAACCAGCTGAAGTATGGTTAAGATTTAAAAGATGCTCTATATTTTTGAAAAAGAGGCTAAAATTTTGAAAATTTCCAGTCTTAAAAAAAACATGCAATATTGTTGCTCTTCTCAGGAGCCTTTATAGGTGAAATAAAAATGCCTAAAACAATATTTATCACCTAAGAGTCCAAGAATTCCACTCAAAGCAAAGAAAAAAAAAAAAGCAAATTCTTCTACTTTTACTCTTTTCCTGAATTCTTTTATTAAAAACCCCAGTATAATTTTGAGCATCCCTGATGAATGGAGAGTGAAGAAGCTCTAAGATTAGCCAGAACCTGAGGCTTCTGGAAGACAGGAGGTGCCTAGTACAGACACTCTTCTCTCATATTAAATGCCAGATGTGTTCTATCTAGAAAAAACATGTCTTAAAAATCCTACAAGAGTGCAAGCCCTTGTGGCATCAATATTTGGGAATAAACATAATTTTGAAAAGCTAATATTTAAGAGGTATTTTTTTCTTCTTTTTTAAAGCAATGCATTTAGAAAGAGAGGCTAGCTGCCTTCCTGTGTGAGTGCACACATATAAGGATGTGCATATCTCTCTTCCCTGACGGAAGGGTAGAAGCCCAGAGACCACTGGGAATTGGAATGACAGGACAAGAAAGGAAGGACATTCTTAACATAGCAACACAACAATGGTTACCCAGTTCATCATAGACAAAACTGAAGGCTGAAGGTTTTCTATGGCATGCTGGCAAGTAACAAGTTAGAAGACAAGAGGAGTGCATAAAGCACCAGAGTACTCTTGTTTTTTATTTTTTTTAAGCAATGTGCTTACCTACAATGTGTTGTTAAGAAGCTAACTGCACTAGGGCATTTTCTCTCTCTTTTTTCTTTCTTTCTTTCTTTCTTTCTTTTTTTTTTTCTTCTTCTTTCTTTTTCTTTCTTCTCTCTTCCTTCTTTCTTTCTCTCTCTCTTTCTTTTTAAATTTTCTTGAGACTGATTTACATTCATCATCTTTTATTGGAGGTAGGGGATGTGTAGGCTGTGCTTTTGGTGGGATATTGGCACATCTGTTTTATCCCTAGTAACTTTATTTAAAAATTTAAGTCCCTTTCCTAAGTATTTTATCTTCCTTAATCCTCTTATTCTTGCATCTCTCTTCAAACACTGGTTCTAGAACCTTGTTATTACTGTTATATGACCATTCAGAGTGAGGATAAGTGTCATCAAAGGTGACTCAACTTTGGAGATTTAAAATTAACATGTAACTACTGTTACACATTAAATCCGGCATGGTGTTTACCCCTCTTTTTTGTGAAGGGTGGTTTGAATTAAGCTTCAAGATTTTTATAAAAGATAAGGTCTAGAGATGCAGCATGATTTGTGTTCCTTTTGTAATAAAAGTATAATCTTTAAAAAAAGGTTAATGAGAGCCATAAGGGTTCAAAGAGGAATAGACAATGGCATTTAAAATCTGGGTAAGTATTAAAACAGGACAGTCATGGCAAGAGACTTCAATAAAATTTATTACTTGAACTGCTGGGTTTGGGCTACAAGGTTTTTGACCAAACGGATGCAAGGGTATACACTGAGCAGAGAGGAATGGGCCTATAGGAAAGCATTATTCATCTTGACCAGCCAAGATGAGGTCTATATGGTTGGGTCTATGATACGATCTAGAACTTTTTGGTGGGATCTATGTAAACAGAAATGATTTGAGACTATTTTGAAATTCTACAGGTTTCAGAGTAAACTACAACCACTCTCAACCTGCAGTTCTTGAAAGAATACAGTGAATATGGTATCAATTTCTCCCTCAGCAGTACAGTAATAGCAGTTAAGAACACAGGCTTTGGCACCCAACAGACTTTGGTTTAAAACTTGACTCTAACATTTACACTCCTAGCAGTAATTCTGATCCTCAATTTCCTCATGCGTAAAATGGGGATAATAGCAACTAAAACATGGTTGGTGTAAGGATTAAATTTGATAATTTTTGTATAGTTCATTGTTTGTGCTCTGTGATAGGTATTATTAACAATAATATCTTTCCCAACATCTTCATTCCAGGACACAGAGAACTTATCAATAATTCTCTCTCTCTCTCTATATATATATCAATGATAGAAAATTAGGACATCAGGAACCTTCTTCAGAATATGAGTGTGCTATGAATGCTATTCAGTAGTGTCGCGTGGGTAGAATTTCTACAAATGCCAAACAATTGCTATTTATTTTATAATATTATCTTACCCCTTGAGCCGGCTATATTTTCTTATCTGTCTACATAAAATCCCTAAACTCCCTCTTGGTTCTTGTTTCTTTTCATCTCTTTTCCACCTGCTTTCATGAGAAAGGAAGACAAGTCAGTCTCGAGTGAAGTCTGAATATCTAGGTGAATCATTTGTAAAGCAACTAAAAATGGAATTACTTTATTACTTAAATATTAGAAGCACCTCACAAGAAGCCCATAGTGAATTTATAACTGTACATAACATGTCAAAACACTGCAGATAGTAGAAAATGTACAAATATAAACTGATTCTAGGAAAGGGAGAAAATAATTTGACAGGGATTCCAAATGAACACAGTGGTTGCATACTAGGAGCTGAATCCCATTTCCTTATTCCAGATATTATATACCAATGACATACTTATTTGTGTGTGTGTGTGTGTGTGTGTGTGTGTGTGTGTGTGTGTGCATTCTCTCTCTGTGTCTCTCTTTTCCCAGCCCCTTGTAAGTCTCTTGAGGTCAGGCACAGTTTCCTTTCCCTTGGACTTGCTATAGTGCTTTCACACAGAAGGCCCTCAGTAAATCTTGGGGGCTAAATGGTACTAAGACAGGAGCTAAGGGAACAGTTAATCTTTTCACATCCCTCTAGCATTAACTCACCAAAGATATTTTTCACTCTTTTATATCACAGCCCACTAGGAAAGGCCTTATCTAGTAGGTTTAATAGTATTTTTCTGTTTCCTTGAGGTTAATATACTTCCAAAAGTAATTGACTTTTTTTTGTCTCTCAATATCTCTGGCTCACTGGTTTTAGATTTCTTACATTCTCAAACACTTTCCATGTTGGATTACCAGTCTTCTAACTGACATAAATAGATTTAACTAGTTAAGTACTAGAATGCAAATAAATGAGAGACTTGTTCAGTCTCCAATGGCAGTCTTAACGTTCCAGAGGTATTATTTTCCAGATTTGTTTCTCTGGTATATGCAGTGGGCTTCTCTATTTTGAAGCTGAAAAATTTGCAGTGCTCCTCAATTAAGAGATGTATCAAAATCACTTGGGAAGACTTTTCAAAATACACATGTTATCATTCCTCTTCTTTCTATAGATCTCGAATGGGGATTGACCAAGTGTATTTTGAAATCAGTGATTTCAGCTTGTTATAACTACTCCATTTATCAGAAAAAGCAGTGGCAACATGCAGGTTTAAAGGTTAAGTACATGGCAGAATTCACAGATAGTTTACTAGATTATATTTTTAGCTTGATAATTTTCAAAGTTGCAATCAAGAGCCATAAAAAAATTTAACACAAATAACCTTTGGTTTCACAGTTATAAGAAAAATTTGACCAACCTTTGATTTCCTGGACCTCAATGCCAGCCTTTTTAACTGATCGATGTTCCATTTCTGTAACACAGCACCGCAAGGAGAAAGAAAATCAGAATCTTCAAAATGAACATTTGAAACCTTAACTTTGATATTAATTATAATCAGTAGAAAATATTTCCTTAATTCATCAAATGTATTATTATATTAGAAAAGAATTCAATACAAACCAGTAATTAGTTGTTCCAGGAATCCTGAAAACAATCTCCTAGGGAAAGCTAATATAATTCTAAGAACTTCATATTTAGAATGAGCTTGTTCTCATGAAATTCATAATATTATACTATTTCTTAAAACAGCATTTTAAAACTATTTCTTTAAGTAGTTCTGTTTTTGTGTGGGCAACATCTTAGACTGATTACTAGTTTTGCCAGGTTGGATTACCAGTTTTCTAGCTGACATAAATGGATTCAACTAGTTAAATACTACAATGCAAATAAACCAGACACTTGTTCAGTCTCCAATGGCAGTCTTAATGTTCCAGAGGTACTATTTTCCACATTTATTACATTCTGGTATATGCAGGGGGCTTCTCTATTTTGAAGTCGAAAAATCTGTAGCGCTTCTCAACCAAGGGATGTATCAAAATCACTTGGGAACTTTTCAAAATACATATATTATTATTCCTCTTCTTTCTATAGATCTTGAGTGGGGACTAAGTGTATTTTGAAAGCCTTCCCAAGGTGACTCAAATATACATCTGTTAAGTGCCAACCATGAAGGTGGTAGAAAGAACTTTTATAGGACTGATTGAACTCTTAGTGAGTGCAAGAATCATATTCCGATTCTGCAAAATCAGATCTGCAAAATAGAGACACCTTCTGGTTCCTCCTTGAGGAGGCAAGTGGTGAAAAAGCCACACTTGCAAGTGGGAATGTGAAGCTACTGCTAGAGTAGAATAGTTCATAGGCATCTCTGTGCACTCAACTCTAACTGGGTCCTTAAACAGCAAAAGTTACTCAGAGGATAATTCTGAAGATAGCAGTTACCGAATTAATTGGGATCGAAGACCTGAATAGTATCTGATTAATGTTTTTGGACTCCTAATTTTACTTTCTTTGGTATAACTTATTTTCTTTCCTTATTCTAATTTGTATTTTTCATTCTATAAATAATACATATCCTTATTTGTTCTCTATCTAAAACTACCTGTGCAAGTCCTGATAACTCACATTTATCATCCTCTATTCTTTTCCCTATCCCCACCTTCTGCCATATTTTAAAAATATCTCTGGACATTTAGGTTTGTGGCCTAGTCGGCATTCAGTACACTTCAACTGAAAAAACTTATTTTTTTTTTAGCATGATATTAAGAGCTATGTTAGCCTACTTTTAAGAATTAAAAATAATGTCCAAATTGCAATTAGAAAACTATGAAACTAGTTGGCTGGACCTGATAGGACAAATCTGTCCCCAGCCAAAATGTTGAGTTACATAAAAATACAGCAATGCAGTTTCTGGGGAAAGTTGAAGCCTAAGTGGAAAATTCAAAAGGCTTCCTGTTTGGAATAACATGAGTCTCACACAGATGCTGGCATCCCTAGGTGCCCAGCAGCCACTGAGAGCTAAAGAGCCGTGTGGGGAACGACGCCTCATGGAAACAAGTTAGCCCTGCTGCTGTGCCAAAGCCACCTCCTCCTTCTGGAACTAAGTTGGAATTAACATTGGCTTTTAATGCAACAGACATTACTTCAGGCATCAAGAATTTCCTGAGGCATATCTATGGAAACAAGGGGATAACTGCCAGCAAAAAAAAAAAAAAGAATATTTCTCTCAAATATAAAAAAATTAACTTAATCTCTAAAATAGATACCAAACAGATCTTTTAACAACTACCTTATACCTTCATTTCTATTCCCATCAGTAAAAAGAAGGAAACACAAATGTTTTTGCTTCACATGTTTTCAAGCAATAAAACTGGAGGAAAATGTGGACAATGTACTGTAAAAGCCGTACTTTCAGTCATGGTGAACTTCCACACGGTGTTGGTGTGAGCATCTCCGATGTATACAGTCCCATCTTCAGATGCGACAATATCATGAGGCATGTCAAAGTGCTGCCAAAATAAGAAGCCACATGTTAGGGTGGTGAGCCTTTACTTGAATCCTTAGTGAAAAGGCAGAAAAACAGAGCAAAGCCCACAAAAAACAAACAAACAAACAAACAAAAAAAAACCAATAAACATTTCACTCAAACCAAAACAACAATAATTCCCATCAAAGCAACTATAGGCCAAGGAGAGCCATTCCTTCATCCATTCATAGGGTACTGACTTTGTCAGGCATGATTCTAAGCATTGGGAAATGCCAAACAACCCTCACCACTGACTTTCAAGTCTTTTAAAAAGTGAAAATTTACAGGTAGATTATTTTTGACAGTACTGTTTACTTGATGTTACATTATCTAGTTGTTTACATAAATATATATTTTTGCCTTCATGTTTCTTCTACCTTTTAATCACTATTAAATTTTCTTATTTATTTATTTATTTTATTTCGGCATATTATGGGAGTACAAATTTTAAGGTTTCAATAAATGCCCTTTCCCCCCTTCCCCCCCCAAGTCTGACTTTCCAGCATGACCATCCTCCAGATGGTGCACATCTCACTCATTATGTATATTTATACCTGCCCCTCTCCCCCCTCCCCCCTGCCCAATACCCAAACTGTGTACCTATGTGTCCATTAGGTGCTGCTCAGTTAATACCAGTTGCTGGTGAGTATATGTGGTGCTTTTTTTCCATTCTTGGTACTTCACTTGAAGTATGTGTTCCAGCTCTAACCAGAAAAATATAAGATGTGTATATCACCATTGTTCTTAGAGCTGAATAGTACTCCATGGTATACATATACCACATTTATATAACCATTCTTGGATTGACGGCACTTGGGCTGTTCACAGCCTTGCATTATGAATTGAGCTGCTATAAACATTCGAGATGCAGGTGTCTTTTTTGTAGAGTGTCATTGGATCTTTTGGTAGATGCCAGTAATGGATTGCTGGATCAAATGGTAGATCCACTTGTATCACTTTAAGATATCTCCATATTGCTTTCCACAGAGGTTGAACTAGTTTGCAGTCCCACCAGCAATGTAGCAAGGTTCCTCTCTCTCTGCATCTACGCCAGCATTTATTGTTTGGAGACTTTTTGATAAAGGCCATTCTCACTGGAGTAAGTGATATCTCATTGTGGTTTTGATTTGCATTCCCTGATGATTAGAATGTTGAGTATTTTTTCATGTTGTTGGCCATTCTTCTGTCTTCTTTAGAAAAGTTTCTGTTCAAGTCCTTGCCCACTTTTAATAGGGTTATATTGATTTATTTTCTGCTGATTTTCGTGAGTTCTAAGTATATTCTAGTTATCAGCCCCTTATCAGATGCGTAGGATGCAAAATTTTTCTCACATTCTGTAGGTTGTCTGTTTACTTTCATGACTATTTCTTTGGCTATGCAGAAGCTTTTTAGTTGGATCATGTCCCATTTATTTATTTTTGTTGCTGCTGTGATTGCCTTTGGGGACTTCTTCATAAACTCTTTGCCTAGGTCAATGTCTAGGAGAGTATTTCCAACATTTTCCTCTAGAATTCTAATAGTTTCATATCTTAGGTCTAAGTCTGTTTTTTATCCAGCGTGAGTTGATTTTTGTGAGAGGTGAAAGGTGTGGGTTCTGTGTTAGCCTTCTACAAGTGGCTATCCAGTTTTCCCAGAAATTTTCTTATTTTAAGTCAAAAGGACTAAGTATTAATTTTTATTATTCCCATCAAGTTATCATGTACTGTCTTAAAAACTATTTGCATATTACTGATAAGAGAAGTCATTTCAAAGATTCAGAACATTTAGATTATTTCTGACATGTATGCTAGGAGATATGCAGCAATGTGGGATTTTATGCTATTTTTTTCTTCCCTTTTGAATTTAAATAGATTTAAGGGGTACAACATGTATATATTGTATAGTGGTGAAGCCTGTGCTTTGGTGTACTCATCACCAGGATACTGTAACATTGTACCTATAGGTTTTATATTCTTGAAGTCTAATTTGCAATATTTTCAGTCAACAGAGGAAAGAAATCGACTATTACAGCCAAGTACTTCCTGGGCTTTTGTGAGTACTTCAGATACTCTATATTTTAATATGTCTTTCTTCATTTCAAGTCATCCTCATCTGAGTCATGAGGACACAAGAGACAGGGGAACACTTTCTATGACTTTCTTTAGGGGTCACTGAGCCAGTTCCTGGAAGAGTAGCCTCAAAACATTGCACTGCTGACATTTACATCTGTTTACTGAAGCCTCCAAAGGTGCTCCAGGTCTACCAGTTGGCAGGATGTGGATAATCCCTTCACTTTTGAGGCCAGCAGGACTTGCTGGATACACAGTTATCCAAAATATGGCTAGTGAGTATGAACAGGAGCATTATCCAGACTGTGGGCCTATCAGCCAACATCTGCCCACCTTGGTGTGCCGAGTGCAAAGGTACTAATGAGGCAAACTACCTTTCTTAGCTCACTTTAGGAGAGGCAGAAGAATACATGCTTTGGAGATACTATTATGCTTTATGAATCATCAAGTTTGTCACACTGAAAAGAAAAATGGGATAGCTATGCTAAGGTGGCTCATTTCTTCATACTATCAAATGTGCTGTGACAAATGTGGAGGGAACTAGAAATCAAAATGTTGCCTTGTTGAAGTCTCGCAGGCCTGTCATTAAATGTTCATCTTTATTTTGGGTTCAGCTAATGGATGGCAGGAACAGACTTGCAAATTACAGGCCATTTCTGTTCTGTGGCATAATATGTTCTTAAAAACTGTCTTATATTAATAAAATATATGGTTGCAAAGTACTTAACATTTTCTGATAGGAAAAATATTATAAAGGTTAGTAGGGGATCTGTAAACTATTCACTGGCCTTTCCTTTAAATTGATCACCATATGTCATAAATTCATGGCTACAATAATGATAAACCTCATTCTGTGGCTCTCAAATGGATCCACAGAGCCCAGGGGCCTGTTGGAAATACAGTACTTTGGGGCCACTGGAGGAATTCAGGGGGAGGCTTAGTGGATGGGACCTCTATTCCTGTTGTAGTCAGAGGCTCAACTGTAACTTTTTCAATGAACTATTTTATTGCTTTGCGTTAAGCAGAAAATGATGTTGTTAGACTTTAGGATCAAGCTATAGGATTTCAGAGCTAAACAGATTTAAAGATCTTCTGATCTAGGTTTTGCAAACTCTTCTCTTGAGATACTGCTAGCAAAATAAAATTGACAAGAGAAAAGAATGATAACATCCTCCTGGGGCATCTATCTGGAGATGAAGCCCAGGGTAACCTGCCCTCAAAATCTTGTATTTTATTTAAAAAATTCATTAGGAAATTTGTGTTCCACTCCATATTATAACTATGTGTGCTTTAACATAGTAAGTTTAAATCTATGTAATATTAAGTAAAACAGTCCTTCTAAGAAGCTGCACCATGTTTATGTTGTGGCTTAATACAGCTTTTGGCATAGCAAGGTATGATGCCTCAGGGACTAAAAGGTTAAGCACATTTTAAAGTCACAAAAACCTGGGTTTGAGATCCAGGTGTTCTACTGTTTGTAGCTTTGAATAAGCAAATTAACAGCAAAGTGAAACTTTCAGCACAAATATTATCAAAGATTGTAATTTTAATCTTCATTATGAAGGCTGAAGAAACAATATGAATCTGGGCTTACTGTTTTTTTTTTTTTGGTTTTTGGGTTTTTTTGTATCTGTTTAACTCCGAAATCCTAAAACTTTTCTGATATAAAAGATTCCCTTCCTTTTCCACACTAGCTGCCTTGTAGGAGAAAGAAGACAAAAAATGCCAGTCTGAAGGATGTGTGAAAGAAGATGATGAAGGACCACAAGTCTTTCCTTTGATTATGGGGGAAGGTTTAGGGGGAGGTGATATGTATATTTTGCCCTCACAGCTTTTTGACAGCATTTGATAGAAGCATCTTCTTTATTGTTCTACTGTCTCCGTTTCCCCTCACAGATACAAATATGGAGGTCATACATTCAGATGGAAACATCTCTAAAGAATGGAACAGTAGAAGAAGGAGCACTGAAATACAAGAGGAAGCAAGCAGTGGATATGCACAAACAGACGCACAGACACATTATGTGAAAGTTTACTTTTGACTTGAAAGATGAATCTCTTCTCTCACGGGAGTCAATACAACATATTCTTTCTTTCACTCAATCTTAATCTTTGTGATGATCATCTAATTAAATGAAAACTCTTAGAGATCCATAAACTGATTTCAGTTTACTGAGCCAAGACAGAATACAATTCTATGTTTTGGCGTAATATCAAGTCTTGTTTACTGAAAGGAAAAACAAACTTTATCTTGGAGTGAGATTCTCTTTTCGAGTTTGCTGTACTGAGCCACATATTATGACTCATTCGGCAATGAATGTCTGATATAGATGCTAATACTTAGGCACAATGCTCTCTGAGATTTTAATTTAGGGCTTTTCACATTTTTTTGAGGTTAAGGCTCATTTAGCATCTAAGCCTCTTGCTTAGCACTTAGTTTTGATTTCTAGATGCATTTTGAATTAAAAGTTAATATCCTGCTTGACACACAGTACCTTATCATTAAAAGAATGAGTAAGGCAAACACTCTACTAATACAAAGTGAAGACCTGCAAGAAAGTTAAATATCTAACTTTCTTCATTAACAGATACGAGGAAGTGAGCTCAATGATGACTGGAGAATCAAAAAAGATCTGAAAGACTCTGGAAGTCAAATGTATATTATCAAAATAATGAATTTCTTTCTAAAGAGCTATTATGATGTGAGGTTTGATGGCTTATTGCTTTTTAGGTGAAATATTTCTGTGAAAAATCTTATTTGTTGTATATAAACCAAAATCCAAAGAAAAGAATTTATACTGGAATGTTCAGTTTGGAGTAACTTTGATTTGATTCAGATCTGGTAACTAGTGTTAAAAGCTCCATTGAAGGACAGGCTGTGTACTATTCTGTTCACCATTATATCCTCAGTATCTAGCACAATGCCTGATGCAGAGCAGATGTTTAATACATATCTCTGGAATGAAATTGGATAAAACACCAGACTAGCTGTCAGTATTCTAACAGTCTAATTTCTAAAATATCGAGGAATATTTTTTTCAATTTAGCAAACCTGGTGTCTTAATAAATAAGAATTACAAATATCAAGATATAACTTGGTCCAGTGACTTATGATAGTTGCATTCTGATCCACATAAAGCCAATAAATCTTTACATGTTTTCAAAAATTACCCTTATTTGCAGGATTTTAGCAGGCTGAACTTTCTAAAACTGATGCGCCCCAAGCACATTCGTGCAGAGTATGTGAACATTCTGATCAGTTTGGCAATCACAGTGCAGAGAAAATACATCAAGAAGACAGAAGGGCTCTGGGCACATTGAACATGGGTACACTGAACATAGTCACTGTGTTTATAAAATAATGTTAGCATAAACAGTGGCAAAACATCTGTGAAGCCAAAACCAGACTTTAGTCTCTTCCTAAACCAAATCTTTAAAACTTGAACAAATTCCAGAACGTGCTATTTTTAAGTTTGTTGCTCAGTACAGTCATAGCAATAAAAAAAAGCAAACAAGATTTCTGATGGGTGTAAGAGAACTATAAAAGTACATTTCATATTTTGTGGTGTCTTCTCTACTTGGATGAAACTAGGAAGAGACTTATTATTTTTTGGTATTTTTAACTATAGTGAGTTTAAAGACCTCCCATCATACATGAGGTCTACTAAGAACCTTTGAACTGCACATAGTGCTAATTTGCATCTGAAGAAATGGATCTAGGAACAGAAAAGAACATTTATTCTAAATAAAACATCATAATAGAATGCTCCCATCAACCTAGCTAAGAAAGTTAGCATATCTCCTAAAAGTTTTTTTCTTAAATTATTCAAGTACAGATTGAATGCCAAGACTCATACTTTAGTTTTACTCTCATGAAAAATAAAACCTAGGCAATGTATATCAATACCTTGCGCACTGGCTTGAAGATGTCTATAATCTCCCCATTGGAAAAGTTCATCACAAATCCTTGTACAGGTTCTTGGTCCCCAAAGTAAGGCTTCCCATTCACCGCAAAGAGCAAGCCTGCAACAACATATCCAGTTTACCTTTTTTCAAAAATATGGATAAGACTGGACTTCAAATATAGGCATGCAAACAAAAAATAAATGTAAGGTCAACCTATTCCTTACAATTGGCAACAAAAGTAAGAAAACAAAGTACATAGCACATGTCTACCCCTGAGTAACCAAATCAGAGGCCAACAGATTAGAGGACTAACCTTGTAACAAGAATATCAGAAATTGAATGTCTGTTCCACTTAGAAAGCCAGTAGAAATGAGGAATACATAGATATTGACATATAGATATCACAAGCATCCTAAATAGGTATTGGGAAAAGTCAGGTTATTTAGGCCAGTAATTTGGTATATCAGATCTTTTAAAAATATATAATATTTCTCAAAGCTACCAGGAGAACCAGAAAGAAATATACATTGAAAGTAAGTGAAGTTACAATATAAATAGAACAGTCTGATTTTAAATAACTGGAGTTTAAAAATGTGAGATGTATATTTCAGATTATCAAAGTCATTTTTCACTAATGAAAAAACATTTTCATCTGTAAAGGACCAGAGAGTAAAAGAAAAGAAAAAAAATAATTAAAGAAAAAAAGAAAAAGAAAAAACAGTAAACCATCTTTTAAATTTTAATTCTATGAATACTCTTGGTAGTGAAATTATATTTCTTAGTATAGTGCTCTTTATCTAAAACAATGGAAATGATGATGTTTTGGTTAAATAAATAATTCAAATGACTGAGTATTATGTTTTCAAAGAATTAGAACATAATAAACTATACACAACACTAAACTACTGCTGAAGATATTTTCATTATTCTTCAAGGATCACATTTTTTTTAGAATATTATACTATGAGAAAAAGATCAATACCATAAACACCAATTACATTGTGAAATATTATAGAAAGAATTGTTTTTTGTTTAGATTCTGTTTTTAACCAGATTTCTTCTCATCTTCTTTCCTGATATTTTTTCTTCTTATATTTGATTTATTTTTGTTTACAATGAACTTGATCACCTTCTATATTAAATGAAGGATCTTGACAAATTTTTCTTTAAATATGTGGTAAAATTAACCTGAAACTTTCCCTTTCATTGATATTATAAGAATCTCATTCCTTATTCCTTATTCCTATTCCATGAGGAAGCCAAACTTGCTCCCTATTCAGTCACCTGAGTCCTTTTATTTTATATTCTAAGTAAATTGCGGGCTGCTTGGGAAATCAGTAGCCATACACAACTTTGATAGCATTAGAAGCATAAATATTACAGTGATGACTCTAAATAGTCAATGCTGCTTTAATACAGCTGTAGATATTTTTAATAAACTATATTATATCCTTTAATTGTGAATTTTCCAAAACTACTCCTGTTATTGATCTCTAGTTTCATTCCTTTATGGTCAGGATGATGCTTATAATAAATAATAATGCACTATATTTCAAAATTGTTAAGAGTAGATTTTAATAAAAAATAAGTATATGTGATGATGGATTTGCTAATTAGTCTGATTTAGTCATTCCACAGTGTAAACGTATATTAAAACATCATACTGTACCCCACAGATATATACAATTATTATTTGTCAATTAAAAACAAAATTTAAAAAAAATTGTAAAACTTGTATATAAATTTTAGAAGTTAAATATATTTTCAGTATTCATTATTTAAAGAAATATGTTATCTTATTTTGTAATATGAATTATGTGAATGTTATTTTATAAATCTGGATTATTTTTCAGATTTTCTTCAAGTCAAGAAAATCTATTTTGAAAATAAGAAAAAAAAATCAAGATTTTCTTGGTTATTTCTCCTGGTATTTAAACGTAAGCTTCACTTCTTTTTACATAATTTTTAAAATTGCCCACTCGTTTTTTTAAAAAGCAAAACAGAAGTATTTGGAATACTGATTTTATCATACATACCATCTGTTGATGATGTGTGAAGACATAATATTAATCATTTAATAACAAGAACAGATGATCATAATTAAGCAAAAATGACAATCTATGTTGTCATTTTTTAACCCACTACAAACAACTGTTAAATCCTTTGAGTTCTTCATTATGTCTGTACAAGGAATAGTGGCACTTGAATTGAAAATGATTTATAATGCACTAACAGTTTTAAGATACTTTAAGATCTGATATATAATGCATCTTCAACTCCTTAATAAGAAAGTTTATGGAAAGAGCAAATGAAAGATAAGACAAAAAAATTTTTAAGGATAGAGTATAGTAAGACAAAAGACACCAAAACAATTATGATGACATACCTGGTATGTATGAAATTGCAAATACATTTCTTCCAAATGATGAATGCTTAATCTCTCTCACAAATTCTTTGGTGTCAGTTTTAAAACACTGGATGCGACCGTTTTCCCTGTCTGCCACACATAATTGGCCCAAATGAGGCACGAGGGCCAAGCTGTGAGGAACACTGAACTGGCCTGGTTTAGGATTGCTCCCTGAAGACTCTACAGAACAAAGAAAAGCCTCAGGTATACAAATTATAAAATCACCCAAAATTTGACTATACAGTTTTGTAATTTTCAAAATTCATGATAACAAACCATTAAATATCTGGAACCAGGGGAAAATAAGCAAAGCAGTTTATAAGTTTATTCTATACTATTTCTTAGCCACAAACACATTATAGATTTTCTCCCTATTTGGAGAAAGTTTTTTGGTGGAAACCTTTTTCCCTTATAAGTTGTGTGTGTGTGTGTGTGTGTGTGTATGTGTGTGACTAACCCAAGTAGATGCATACAGTGGCCCTGCTTTTTTCACTGTAGGGGACAAATACATCCTAAAATACGTGAGGGGTGGCCAATCTCTCATTCCTAGTGATATTGGCTAAGAATTACAATTAGAGATCAAGAGTTTTGGCTGGATGTCGTGGTTCACACCTGTAATCCCAGCACTTTGGGAGGCTGTGCGGGGAGGATCACTTGAGGTCAGGAATTTGAAACCAGCCTGAGCAAGAGTGAGACCCCTGTCTCTACAAAAAAATAGAAAAATTAGCCGAGTGTGCTGGCACACCCCTATAGTTTCTGTTAATCAGGAGGATGATGCAGGAGGATCCCTTGAGCCCAGGAGTTTGAGGTTGCAGTGAACTATGATTGCCCAGGTGAGGCAGTGAGACTCTGTCTCAAAAAAACAACAAAAAAACTATTACTGAGTACCTTCTCCCCACTGTGTGATGAACTTTCCATGTGGTGAAAACTGTACAATCCGACTGTTGCAGTAGCCATCTGACACAAAGATGGCTCCAGAGCTTGGATCCACAGCCACATCAGTGGGTTGACAGAAGTGATTCTGGTCACTGCCTGGTTGCATGCTTCTTCCCAGGGTCAACGCAGGGCCTTCTTTACTGTTTGGATCCAGTTTGAACACCTTTTAGAAAAAAGGAACAGAAGAAGCCTTACCTACTCTCCATAGTTATTATTGACATACACTCAAATGACTAAGACAATTTTCACGAGCAACTGAAGTGGAAGTTCCCAGAGACTTACTTAAAATAAGATACTTTTTAGAACTGGATGGAACCCTAGAAATCATCTGGTCTGATTCCTTCATTTGGCGATTGAAGCCTATGGAGATTAAGCCATTTGCTCAAGGTCACCCAGTTAATTAGTAGTGAATGGAGATTAGTACGTGGGCATCCTGTTCCACCACCCCCATGCTTCCTTTTTTTCTTTCCTTAGCTAATATTACAATGATCCCCAGATAATACATGAGCAATAAAGTTTAAGACTGTTGAGAGAACAACTTACTAAGTCATAAATATGTCCTAGTACTGAGGGTTTTTTTTGTTGTTTTTTGTTTTTTTTTGAGACAGAGTCTCACTTTGTTGCCCAGGCTAGAGTGAGTGCCGTGGCATCAGCCTAGCTCACAGCAACCTCAAACTCCTGGGCTCAAGCAATCCTCCTGCCTCAGCCTCAAGAGCAGCTGGGACTACAGGCATGCGCCACCATGCCTGGCTAATTTTTTCTCTATATATTAGTTGGCCAATTAATTTCTTTCTATTTATAGTTGAGACGGGTCTTGCTCTTGCTCAGGCTGGTTTTGAACTCCTGACCTTGAGCAATCCGCCCGCCTAGGCCTCCCAGAGTGCTAGGATTATAGGCGTGAGCCACTGCGCCCGGCCAGTACTGAGTTTTTTCCTTTTATGAATAATACCCTATTCATGAAAAGGGTATTAAACTTGATAAGCTTATATTTTGGGGAAAATCTTGTGAATACTCTGTGATTAAAATATAACTCTTTTTAAAAGAACAAAAATTTGATTTTTTATGTATAAATATTTATTTAGTAGAGACCTAGAATTCATAGAACATTAAGGTAGCTTAGTAAAGAAAACATAAAATACAAGTGATAAAATAGAAAAAAGGCCTAGGGACAGAGGTAATAAAAACAAACACAGAACTCTAAAAGAGAGGTTGGGAGGGCCCATGTAGTTATTATTATAGTTAAGCTTCACATCTGGCCCTAAATAAACTTCCTGCCAGCCTGAGGGAGAAGAGTGACTTGATAGTTTACATGTTAGCTTGTCCTAGCCCTAGTTCTAAAAAGAAATTTTCTGATGTGGATTGTTATGAACTGAATGTTTGCGTCTGCTTCGCCAAATTCACATGTTGAAACCCTAACCCCTAAATGTGATGGTATTAGGAAGTGGGGCCTTTAGGACTTGTGATCCTTACGAATGGGATTAATAACTAAGAAGAGACACAAAAGCTTGCTCTCACTTTCTCTTTCCACCATGTCAGGATACAAGGAGAAGTTGGCAGTCTACAACCCAGAAGAAGGCCCTCACCAGAAGTTGACCATACTGGCACCCTGATCTTGAACTTTCAAGACTCCAGAACTGTTAGAAATAAACTTCTGTTGTTTCTAAGCCACCTAGTCTATGGCACTTTGTTATAGCAATCAGAACAGACTAAAATTTGGCTGCTCTATTTTCTTTTTATAACATTACAGTAGGGTCACAGAAAAACAACAACAACAACAAAAACCCCATACAACTCCAGAGTATTTTGAAAGGATAACTCTGTTAGTTTCTATCTGAATATTGCCAAATGCAAGATTACCTGATGGAGAGCCACATCTGTGACCCAATAATTTCCATCTTTATCTACACTCAAACCATGTGGCAAGTAAAACCTGCAAAATAAAAATGATTGTGTAAATTATATATTTATTCCCAAAGCACACATGAGAGGAATTTTTTTCTAATTAGTATGTAAACACAATACAAATTGATAAATGTATACTTGTATTATTATAAATAAGATAAAAATTGTTAATAAAAATAAAAATACCTATTATAATAGAGACCTCGCTATAAATCTTAAGCAGTATTTAAGCCTACATATAAGTTACAAATATTTTATTATTTGTGTATATGTGTGTATATTAGAGTGAACAATACAAATAACATTTTAATTTAAAATGTTCAATTTAAAAACAAGTTCTAAGATCATAAATATTAAAATCTTAGAAATATATGTAAAACAAATGGTCTAGAGAAATAGAAACGATTTATATAGTTTGAATAGTTAAATATATTACAAGGAAATGTAATATTGTGTTAATGTAAACTATTAAATATATGACTCAAAGCTTTAAAGAGTAACTACTAAAGACAATAACCCAAAGAAAACAATTTTCAACAAATATGGGCTGTGAACACCTAGCAAAGTGAAGTGGTGAGCTGGACAATAATTAGAAAAGGTTAATCTATTCAGCAAATCAATCTGGATGATTTGGATAAGGAAGTTGGACAGAGCTAAATACACGGACAATATATTCAAGTGGTTTTGGTCCAACAATATCTAAAAATACCCAATGTCTATCTGTCACCTTCTAGCCTTAGGATGGTGTTGTCACCACAGATTTCAAGAGCCAAGACTGTAACACTCTGATCTTGCCTAATGAACTGAACTAGATCCCTGTTTTGGCAATTGAATTTGAGGGTTATGATTTGCTTTCAAACAAACACCCCACTGATGGCCAAGTTGATTTAGCAGCAGTTGCTCTGCCTTCCCCCTTTGTTCCTTTCTGGAATGAGGATGCTTCTGATGAATGCATATGGCACCAATGAGACAGGTTCAAACAGAGTGGTGGAACTGGTAGAATTTGGCCCATGATGCGTCATCTGAAAATGCTGTAAAAAAAAAATTCTAAGCCTCATTGTTACCATCTCCACAAGCAGCTGCATTCAAAACGGTGGCTCCCTGACTGTCATTGGAAGCTGGCTTTCCCTCTGCCTAAGCAGATGGAGTAGGGTACAGTTCCTGAAGCTGCCAGGTCGCAATGGTTGAAGAGATCTATAAGCAGGTGCCCCTTTCTTTCATTAACCATGAATATCAGCCAACCTCTTTTTGGCTGCCAAATTCCATCTAGAAATAAGACCAAATGAGCAGCTTTCAAAGCCAAATTACACATGCATGCTAAGAAATGCTAAAAATGACATTTGTTTAGTCTTCAATTTAAGATGGGAACAGAAGCCTTTTTTCTAAATGGTGATTACTTGATGAGTTTGGTTATGCTGAAGAATTTTTTTTTTTTTTTTAATCATCAGATCTGCCTGACCAGCAACTCACTTCATTAACTATGTATATCAATGGCTCTTCCAAATTTGATTACATATTGGAATCACCTAGGAAACTTTGAGTGTATTAGACCCACCCCAAACTAAATCTGAACCTAATTTTTAAAATCGTAAGTTGACAAATTATAATTATATATATTTATGGAGTACAATGTGATGTTATGATATTTGCATACAAAGTAGAGTGATTAAATGAAGGTAATTAGCATATCCATGACCTCAAATACTTACTTTTTATGGTGAGAACATTTGAAATTTACTCTTTTAGCAATTTTGAAATGGGCAAGGACCTGAATAGACATTTCTCAAAAGAAGACATACAAATGGCCAACAGCTATATGAATCTTAGATATATAAATCCAATTTTTTGAAGCTTCCCAGGTGATTCTAATATTTAGTCAAGGTTTAGAACCATCTATTTAGAAAATGAAAGATGGGATGGCCCAATCAATCTCCTGGTTTCTTAAGTGCAGCTACACAGGCACTCTTTCAAGAGCTCAGGATATGCTTTACATCCAATGTATGTAGTACAAGCCTTAATAACAACACAAGTCATTTGACTCACAGATTTTTCCCACTGGACTGGATTACTGCAGCAGTATTTGGATCTATGACAAGGATAGTGTCTTCTTCAATTGGTCCAAGCCCTCTTTGTTGGTAAACAAACTTGCTGTCAAAAGAGCTAAACAAAATGTATTAGAATGGAAAATAAACCAATCAAAAACTCCAATGAACGTAAGCAATGCATTCAAGATTCTAAATACAGAATCAAAAGAAGAGCTCGGATATATTTTTCACTCTTTGTCCTCCATGCTTCAGTCATTTGGATTACAATATAGACCATTAGCCTGTAGAAGCGTGTTCCTAAGAGTGGTCAGTGGAGTAGCAGCATCGGCATTGCTGGGAAATGCAGTGTTCGACCCATTGGACCTGCACTTTCACAAGACCCATTGGTGGTTCCTACACACAGTAGGGTTTAAGAAACACAGACCAAGAACTCTCAACGTAACTAAAATTTTAAAAAAAACTCTTTAAAATATTATCAGCAATTAAATATATATTTTCTTTCAAATTATAAAAGAAAGTATAACTTGTTTTAACCTTCTCAGTAATGATAATAATAGCTGGAAGAGTAATGATCAAAAAATATGTTGTTACTGTAATTGTCATATATATAACACATGAACATATATTATGGAGATATATAACAGAATGTTCAAAATAGTTCAAAAATACAAAATAGAATTTATTCTCAAAACAACAATGTGCATAGAGACATCAAACTTTATATAATAGCTTTTCTATAAGTACAAAATGGACAACTATGGAATAATTTAAAAACTTAAACAAATATGACAATTTCTGCTTTTTAACTCAGTACATTCTAGGTCATTAGAAAATATTATGGATATATATGTTCTTTCTCTATAGTTTAAATTTATATCTCTATCTAAATTGTTAGTAATATTTTCCCTTAAATTGACAATTATCACAGACATTGTTCTTATTTGTACATTTCCTATTTGGGAAATTATATGTTAATGTGGATAAACAACAAAGATAAACTCTTCTAATGTAAACTTATGTCATACATATATGTAAATGTATGAAGCACCAAGAAACCAACTTATATTTCCAAAATGGATTGGATCAGCACATAGTTGAGTCATGTGTGTGTATATATATAAAACATACATATGTATACATATGAAGTCAATGGATGATCTATGAATATTTCTGTAAAGCAGAATTTCCTTTTGTAGCATCAGGTAAGGCTGCAAAAATTATTAATACTTTTGTAGTTTAATTGTATAAGCAAAAGAAGAATCTGAATAGCATTAAATATTTATTGAGATATACTTGCAATTTGGGGAGGTAATAGATTGCTCAAATCTGTCATGCATTCATTGATTAGTTGCTTGACATTTTTATGAAACTTATGTAGACTCCCGATAGGGGAACAAAAATTTTTAAATTATATTCTTTTGCCATTAAAAATATATCACACAATTATCTGAGCTTCTTGACTGCTACAGTCTTTTGGGTATATTTTTACTGAAAGATAACAGTAAGTCCCTGAAGTAGTTCTTATCAATGATGTACTCAACTGAACACAAAATATTGATTCAGATCTGTCAATCTAAAACTTAAATAATACTTTTTATATATGCTGTTATGTGCAGTTAAAACCACACAGTGGTATCTAGGAAAAAACTACACAAATTTATGAAATGGGGAAGCAGCAGACAAAACAGATTTTATGAGATTCATGGAATCATTATTAAACTGAAACATGAAATTTTATTAGATAGACACCAATGTAAAACTATTCATGGTATTGTTAAATCATGGGAGACTGATAAAGGGCAAACATGAAGTCACTCTCTCTTAATACTATCAAACACCAAGAGCTTACCCTACATCTGAAAGTCTATTTTCAATGTGAACTTCTTTACTAAAAATATCATAACTATTCTTCTAGAAAACAAAGGTACTGGGTTCAACCATCAATGATATTTTAATTTTTTTCCAATTTGCCTATAATATCGAATAACTTAAGTTTAGCACACCCAAAATGCAGTAGACTGTAAGTTTCACATTCATGTATAATAAGATAAAGTCTCTTCATTCATTATCTCTTTTGGGGTTTAAGTCTTAACATTTCTCATTCAGAAACATTTCAGTGCTTTGTAAAGGCACAATGGCAATCTCAATAATGCGAAAATTATGCTTACCCTGACTATTAGGAGTTATGACCTATCTTCCTCTTTTTTGGAAGAAATTTTAACTGAAATACTTGTAGATTCACAGGCAGTTGTAAGAAATAATAAAAATTCTGTGTACATTTTCTCTAATTTTTCCATTTTGTAAAACTATACATCATATCACCAAGATATTGACTTTGATAAAATCTACTGATGAAATTTAGATTTCCCTTTCCCTTTTTTATTTCCTAAAATTTTCATTTTTTTCTTACAGTTTATTTGCTTGGGCATGGAATATATTACTACATTACTTTTCCATCCCACTCCCATCAATAGAATATGACAAGTTAGCAAGTTCTTATAATTCTTACCAAGTGCTATCTACTTTGCATGTAGTGCTCTGACCACTGACAGCCAATAATAGTGGCAATCAAATTGCCTATACTATATCCTCATAAAACTGGAGCATATCAGCCCTCAGTACACGTAATTCCACATTTTTCTGCAGAATGACAAACCATTCAGGAAACCTAATAGATTTGCTTGCTCATGGTTTTTCCAAGAATGGATTACAGTAACTCTGAAGATAACTGCTCCTTTGATCTGTGTTGTCATTAACATAAATATTCACCGTCAGTCCTAAATTTCTGGTCATACTATTTTAGGAAATAAAATAATTTATTCATGGAGAGAAAGTAGAAAGGAGATCCCCCCCCCCAGTAGCAGACAGTGAACTTCTGTGACTTAAAGCATTTCTTATAGCTCCAGCTTATTTCTCCAGACACTCAAATATTTCAAAATGTAAACTATAGCTTAAAGTTATTCACTGGCAGCCACATAAACTTAGAGTCACAGACCTGAAATGTTGGGATTGGCTTCCAATAAAACAAGTTGTGTTAAGGAAGAAACATGAATAACACAGACAGTCCTTGCATCAGTCAGAGCAAATGAAAATGTTGTAGCTGATGAGTAGGTAAGTGAAAGCCATTTTTTATCATTGGTATTGTTCTGTAGCACCTCTACATGTAGGAAAAAATGTATGGAGTAAATGATGTTTTACTGTCACAAACACAATTTGTATATATTTATCTTCAAAATCTAGAAACTTCACATTTCCAGTGGTGGTAATAAGTAGTAAAATTAACTAATTTGAGAATCATCTACTTTTATTTCCTTACCCACTTTTTGGTGTTGTAGTAGAAAACTGTGAAATAGCAAATGAAGGAACTTGAAAAAAAGTAACAAAACTGAATAAGGCAGAGTAAATAAACCAGATTTTTATAACCAAAAGTTGTATCCATAAAAAATATCAGGTCTCTCAATTTATCAAGACATTTTTCCCAGTATTCTATTACATTGTAACAGCTAATAATTTGGGGTTTTTAGGTTTCATTTGCTACAACAAATTGCCCTCATGTCATCTGTGTGTATAAAGGGTATTTTATGTTTTGCTTAAGACTAGCCACTTTGCCATAGCTTTATAATTATCATTCATATTATTACTATACTTCCACTGTATCCATTAAGGATCTCAGTGATTAGGCAATTCTTAAATTTACTGAAATAAATTACTAGATAGGGAATCTGTTCATTTAACTACCACTACTCAAAACAAAAGGAAAAAATAACACAAAGCAAGCAAAACATAACAAAACAAAATTAAAAATTAAAACACTCTACTTACATTAACATCATTTAAACATATTAATTTACTTCAGTACTGTAAACCAAAAAAATAAGAAAAACCTAGAATTTTTAGGAATAATATAGCTTTAAAGGAATTAACCACAAAACAATAGGCCTAACCACTTAAAATCTTTGTGATATCCTTTAACAGATGTCTATATGTTTAAACTGGCAGCATCAAGGGACATTCAATTACTCCACTGATTGGCTGACTGGCCCTAATGCTTTCACTTGGGATGATTGGAGCTTCAGGGAACTAACAGCTGGCCCCTGGTAGTTATACAAGACAAATTATAAAAGAAATTGATGTCTTTTCTTAAATGAGAAAATCACTCACACACACACACACACACACACACACACACACACACACACACACACACACAAAACCTGCCAAATAAAGTAGTTTATAAACTCTTGTAATTCAAAGAAAGGTAACCCTTGAATAGTTCCCAAATGGATGTCAGATTATAGAGCTGGATACACCGTTGCTATAGCAAACTGCTTATTTAGTGTTCTAAACCATCTACCATGCATTATTTGCTGCAGAGAGGTCTTTATTTCAACCACATTTAACTTTTTACAGGATATAATAATACCCTGCACATTTCACACAGTGCCTGGAGCACTGATGATTTTTCTTTGCTTCCTTGAAAAAGCACTCAACTGAAAAGACTGAACCGTGGCCTATGGGCCGGAATTCATCAGGTCTTTATTTTAGCAGTTTGAATTCCCCATTAATGATTTTGCACATTAGCAGCTAATCAAACAGTTTAGATAAGGCTGGGAAGAAATGCTTTGCTATATTCACACACAAGAAAGAGCTTACCTTATGGAGAAAATAAACTCCTGTGCCATCAATCAAAATTAAGGAAATGCAAAATAAATAATAGCAACTGAAAAAAGACGTGACATCTAATGTTGTAATTATACAAATTAAGCTAGAGAAAGAATCATAGGTTTTCAAGTGAGAAAATAAGTGGAAATGTACCGTCAATGTCAGAAAAGCTAAGACATACAAAGGCCAGAGGCTCAAAATGGAATATAATTTGATATTATGTTAAAACACTTAATTATGAATATTATAAGCATTATAAAAAATTCCTATGAGAAGGAAAAGAGGGGGGAAGACCAAAAAATCCTCACTATGACTATTTAGTATCCTGATTGGCCCAGAATTAAAGACACCCCAAATAGGGATGAAAAGAACAAAGAACTAAGTATCACCGCAGCCAGGCTCTCTGCTTTCTGTTCAGTTACTAAGGCCACTGGGGGCAAGTCACTTAACACA